CGTTGGGGGCGGTGGGGGCGGTGGGGGAGGGGGTGAGAATGATATTTTGCGTCATCTCTTTAGAGGAATACTCATTTTAATACTTCAAATTTTGATTATGATGAATCAAGGTGGTTGGTCAACAACATCACTAGATCAGCACCAATGAGGCATTGATGTCCCTACTTCTGATTGGACGTGTGTTCACGTTGGCCACTGTGTTGCCGATGCACAAACTACCAACGCAACAAAGTTATGTTATTTCCAGCATTATATCTGAGCAACCTATTTTATATATTGCTCATTTTTTAATGCAAAAATATTTTTTATGAATTAAAATGATTTGAAGATCAACTAATATCATATTGATAATTTCTCGGTGGTAAAAATGTTATTCCATTAGGGGATTCAATACGTTGCTATTCAGTTACAGGTCTTCTTTTTTAACTGCTTTACTAATTTTGTTTTGAAAACACTGTTTTAAACGATAATAGTAATTAGAGAAACTCTTCCAGTCAATATGCTTAAGAAGGGATTTTATACACCCTTCTATAAAATCTAAGGGCTCTACCAGTTGTTAGTGGAGCATCTACTTAACGTCTGTTTCTGGAATCATTTCTTCCACCGTTATGTCAAAGCACTCTCTATCCAAGTCAAATGGATCCATTGAGTTTTGATAAATTGCAATTACTAAAAAATAGTCTTTGCCATTCCATATGCATGGAAAAAGAAATCAGTAAGTACTTAAAATTTCGCTTAATAAAATCAAAGCTGAATGAATTCGCATGTTTTGATAGTCTATTAAAAGTCCAAAACAAACGTACGTGTTTAGCACGTGTTCCATTCATTGACTGATTGGTAGGTGAGTAAGGAAAGGAGGTGTGTATTATATATTGGGTTGGCAACTAAGTCATTGCTGTTTTTGTTGACGGATTCACTCTATACTTTCTTTTGTTTTGTTAACGTGGCCAGAGCATCTAACCTATATTTTTTTCTTACTGTATGGGCTTCTAGGTTAATTAGTAAAAAATCTTTTTTGTTTAGTTCTTTAGTTTTGTTTTTATCCCAATTTAAAAATGAAAGAACAGGACGTGCACTTCCGACACATCTTATTGTATTACTACCGAAAAGGCAAGAACGCATCGCAAGCACAAAAGAAGTTATGTGCCGTATATGGAGATGAAGCCTTAAAAGAAAGGCAGTGTCGAAATTGGTTTGAAAGATTTCGTGATTCCGGNCAATGAAACTCCATCCATTTACTTTTATGAGTCAGGGGTGTGCGAAAGACTTACCTCCACGTGGTGCACCCTGTTCAACGCATATTCATGCGGCCTAAAGTCTATAAAAAGGCAGTTGACTTCTGGCTTCAAACTACCATCACCCACTGTGTGCCATATTCGACATATACCACAGAACTCACCTCACCTTTTTCTACCTTCGCCTTTGAAACACTCTTCTGTCCCCCCGCCCACCCTCTCCACTTTTTCACTTTGATGTTCCTTCCCTCTGTGAAGCCTGAAGTCAACTAAAGGGCTAATGATAACCATCAAGACGCCTGCCATTTGATATAAATAAATAAATAAATTTTACGGATCAAAGGTGGAGTCCAAGTATCTATGTGGAATGGTGGGATGTTATTAGGGGCACGTTACGCTATAAAGGCAGCATCCAAGAAACTGCAGAGTGCTCTACTCACATGCAATGCCAAATATGTGTTCTTCAAGGTGTACAATAAAACGTTTCTCTTCCACTTATAGATACCTGGGAATGTTCTTCTGGTTGTCTCATTAACCCACTTCCCTTCGGCAGATCGACTTACCATCGGTCTATTCGAGTGCCACAGTCTACCTCTAAAATCTACTGGTTCCCCCATAAGTGAGTTCATTGAATAAAACAAAAGAAATAACCACACTCTATCTGAGTTCAACTTCTGGTGTGTTGAAAGTGTCATGCAAACAAATTAATTAATTAATAATATTCTTAATTTTTTTCTTTTTAAATTTCTATTCAAAAGGCGTCTACGCGAAAGTGATGGTATGTCAGGGCATTCATGGGAAAATGGTGAAGACGAAGCGAACGGAGTTGCTTGATCAGAGGGAGAGTTTCAACGAGTCTTTCACCTTCTCCAAACTTGGCGACCCGGCAAATATTCACGTGCGCATTGTGTTGACACAGCCTGGCTTCTTCGGTAGGTTTCACGTCTGTCGTTCACCTTCCAATAGTTCAGCAATTTCTTTTTTTTGCCCAACACACTTTCCTGAATACTCCAACAAAAAGATTAAAAATTTGTAATATTTTAAAGGTACCAACTCAAAAAAATGGCTAATTTACCTCCTAGACTCTGCATTTTTCCACATTTTCTAAATTTTATTTAATTTTGATAATATTTTTGAGAATCGATAAAGATACACGACTCTATGACTAAGAAAGCACTTGAGAGCGAGAATAGTGTCTTTATTCTATATCTACTTAACCAAATTTCTGTTTTATTTGTCAATTTCGATCTACTTATTACATTACTTGGTGTATTTCTCAGAATTTAAGCGGACTTTAAATTAAGAGGCAATTTAACACCGTCGTATGGGGAATCGGTAATGAAGTATTACAACATCCACTGTACTTGATCACACTCCTGTGGAAGTTGAATTCATGCAGGTAGGAAATGTGGCCGAATTTGGATTGACTGGAATCGCAGCTTTTGAAAGCTTTTGAATAGCCCCAAAAATTCTCTAAATTCAACGCACTTTAATCCGCTTTCACCCACTTTTTTGAAGGTGCAACAACCATGCATTTTCTGGCTAAAATTATTTTACAATAATTAATCAATGGAAAACTAATTCGAATAATTTCTATCCTAAATAGGATATGAACTTCAATTTTATATGTCACCTCCGTCAATTTTCGCCTGATAATTAGTTTTCCTCAAGATCATTATCTTCTCCCAGTCCCCTAGGTAATGTGTAGGCGGTGAGAATAATTATTTAAACAACAGAAGAATTTTTTTTAATAACTTAAGAATTATTTTGCCCATTTTTTATTCAGAAAACGTTGGCATTGTTCCACATTTTTTCCCTAGATCGGTTTTGAACCTAGTTGAGAGACATCTGTTAGGTCATGGGAGCCAGTGGGTTGCATAGAATACCATCTTTTTTCACTCCTAAGGAGATTAATTCTCTTCAAAACTTATTATTTAAGTGTCATTTCATTATATGGTATTGCGTTTTGTTACATTTACAGAAAAACATTTAAATTGTGATTGTTTTTTTTCTGCCTTTCCTTATTAGATAAATCTGTGGCTATGCTAGTTCTCGGCAATGAAATGGTGGCCAAAGGAACGGGAATTTCTCATTGGTGCGCAATGATTGAACGTCCAGAATTAACAATCACTGAATGTCACGAAATGCAGCCCCTTTAAAGTGTCCTCGGCTTTTCAATCAACGATGACTTATATTTTTTTGACAAGCATTACCTTAATAAAGAATTAATTAAATAAATGAAAAAAACAGCATTTTATTGCCCTACTTTTGCTAATACTGCAAGATTCCTTATTTGATTGCAATATTCACCCATATTTTGAAATCTCTTTTTGTGTTCTGGTGTGGGTTAAAATGCGTCGACATTGAATTGTTTATCTTTCTCGTTTTTTCGTATTGAAATGTTTAAAAGCAGCATTTTGTTACAATTTCGTTTTTTCTTCGCATGTCCCTGGATTTATAACCAACATTCATCAATTTCGGACATACGTCCACACTCATGACATGTGCCTGGATGTAGCTATTTTCACCCATTGCCCCAATGGCTTTGAGGGTTAAAGCGAAACTAATCTAAATGCAATTTGAGTATGATTGTAGTTCGATCGTGTTTCCCTCATGATCCGTGTTAAGGCAATAAACCATTGGCAGAGACGATTGTCGTTTGTTTATTTTATTGACATGGGGTGCGCGATAGACTTACCTCCACGTGTACTCATACGACAGAAAAGTCCATTAATCGACAGTTGACTTCTGACTTCGAATTACCATTACCCCACTGTATCTCATATTTGGCCCTTTCCACAGTTCTCACCTCACCTCTTTCTCCACCTTTGTGTCTGCCTCTTTTACACCTTTGAAACNGTTACTCGCAAGAGATCATGGGTGAAGCAAGATGAACCAGCCCAAACGATATCAAAAGCAGAGATTCACCAAAAAAGATTATGCTGTCAGTCTGGTGGGGGGATCACAAAGGAATTTTGTATTTTGAACTCATGCCGCAGAACCAAACGATAAATTCAAATGTGTATGTTGAACAACTCGAAAAACCGAAGGATACAATTGAAGATAAGCGGCCGGCATTATCAAATCGGGAGGGTGTTGTTTTCCATCGTGATAACACAAGGCTCCACACATCTTTGTTTACTCGGCAAAAATTATTGGAACTGGGTTGGGATGTTTTGTCACACCCACCCCATATATAGCCCTGACCTTGCGCCTTCGGATTACCATTTGTTTCGTTCCATGCAAAACTCTTTAAATGGTAACATTTTGAACAACGCGGATCATGTCGGATCACACCTAATTCAGTTTTTTAATAGCAAAGACCAGACATTTTACGAACGGGGAATTTTTACTCTGCCAGAACGATGGAAAAAGGTCATCGACAAGAACGGCCAATATCTAATTGAATAAAGTTATATTTTTAAACAAAAATTCCGAATTTGCCTTCTTATTTGAAATCGGCAATGACTTAGTTGCCAACCTAATATTATACAGTGTACGGTATTTCCAGTAAACACGATTTCGCCTAACTTCAGGATTACATTTTGATGTTCTGCATTCTAAACGTTGCAATTTGTCAAATTTTATGGATTACCAAATTTGAATATAGCATTGCATAGGTTTTTTTATCTCATTTACAGTTAAAGGAATTAGTTTTTGCCCAAAATATTTATATCAAATGGCAGACTCTATGACAGTTATCATTAGTCCTTTAGTTGACTTCGGGCTTCACAGAGGGAAGGGTGGGGAACAGAAGAGTGATTCACAGATGCAATAGGGATAGAGATAAAGGTAGAGAAAAGGGTAAGGTAAGGACTGTTGAAGTGGTCAAACATGACATAGAGTCGGGTCATTGCAGTTTGAAGTCCACTGCCGGTTTATAGACGTTTTTCCCCTTTTTGCCCCAAATGGAGGTAAGTCTACTGCACACAGCTTGATCAAAATATAATTCCTTTGCTTTTCAATCACTTCATTACACCCTATCAGTAATCTTTCCATGAATGCTATTGACAAAATTATTTGTGAATGTTACCTGTTCATTCTTGTAAATTACGTCATTGGTGTATAGGTTGTTTACACAAGGTTCTCAACAAAAATGTAAGGAAACCAAATCGAATATTTTCACTGTAATCACTAGAAATGCTCAATCTTCGTTCTTCGTGTCCTGGTTTATCAATTATTTGATTCTTACCCCTACAGTTGGCTACGTAAGACCGCTTGTGAAGAAGCTGTTTCTGCCTTTATTGGCTAACCATGTAGCCAATCATCTATTACATATGCATATTTGCGTTTAAGCAGCTGTTAATCGCGCATGACTGATTTTAATGCGTGTTGATTTTATTTGTCGTTTTTCCCATAATTTGCTTATTTATATTTGAGCCTGACTTTTAGAGCCCTCCTTAATCTAAAGAAAAGTCGAAGATTAATTTTAAGCGGCAACAATTATGATGAACGTGACAAAAGGATTGAAATAAACTCCATTATGCTTTAAAAATGTTGTTTTACTAAGGTTTATAAATGTGTATTTATATTTCTCATATCACGAGTGAAGGAGATAGGGAAGATAATTTTACACCTTAACAGATATCGAATGACGCCTCAGTTGGTATAAAAATCAGGCTTATCAATAACAAAAATATTTCTGCTTGATAAGCGGCTTTAATTTAGAAGCAAAAAAATAAAACCGAGATTTGTATGAACACATAGAACTTAACTATAACTAAAATGCCGAAAATCTGGTGACCAAAATAATCTTATTCTGGACGATTTAGAAAACATCGGGAATTATCCAAGATGGCGTTTGTTTGCCCAAAGAAAAAAAATAGCTACATTAACGTAGTTATTAATAGCTTTCTGCATTTAAATTTATTTATTTATTTCAAATGGCAGGCGTTTTGATAGTTATCATTAGCCATTTAGCTGACTTAGGGCTTCACAGAGAGGAGGAGGAACATTAAAGCAACAAAAAGTCGAGAGGGGGGACAGGAGAGTGATTCACAGGTGTAAAGAGACAGATGAACACAAATACAGAGAAAAGGTAAGATGAATATTGTGAAAGTCGTCGAATATGACACAGTGGGGTGATTGTAGTTTGAAGTCAGAAGTTAACTGCCAGTTAATAAACTCTTTCGCCATATTATTATACGTTTCCCAGGGTTCACCACGTGGAGGTNATTGTAGTTCGATCGTGTTTCCCTCATGATCCGTGTTAAGGCAATAAACCATTGGCAGAGACGATTGTCGTTTGTTTATTTTATTGACATGGGGTGCGCGATAGACTTACCTCCACGTGTACTCATACGACAGAAAAGTCCATTAATCGACAGTTGACTTCTGACTTCGAATTACCATTACCCCACTGTATCTCATATTTGGCCCTTTCCACAGTTCTCACCTCACCTCTTTCTCCACCTTTGTGTCTGCCTCTTTTACACCTTTGAAACACTCTTCTGTTCCCCCCCCCCTCCAATCTCGACTTTTTTCACTTTGATGTTCCTTCCCCTCTGTGAAGCCTGAAGTTAACCAAATGGCTAATGATAACTACCAAAACGCCTGCCATTTGGTATTGATAAATAGATATTATTGGCATTGTCTTTGTACAATCTGAAAATGCTCTTTTCATCATTTCTGTCTTTCTCTACTCTTCAGCACCGCTGTTGTGCCCTAAATTTGGGTGTTTTCTTTCGCACATTCAAGCATATTTTGGGACAGAATGTGCAAAATTGAGGTGTAGAACAAAGAAAGAATAAATTGACCACGGTACAGCTCATTCACTCTGAATGAACTTGTCAAACAGGCTGTGACACAACAAAGACTTCTTTCATCTAGAGCCAATTTTGCCGCCTTTACTGTCAATAATAAACGCATCAGTTATCACGCAACCATAGTAGCAATGTTGTAAAGCTGTGCTTGAATTGGGAGGCTAATATCTTTCATTACGACTCTCGAGGGAATGCAAGAATTAGCAGTTTCGTTTATGCAATGCCATAACAATCAAAATTTATTGGTGACTTAGCATTAACGCGAAGTCTATGTTACCACACCTCCATCTGGTGATTCTTTATCTAAGGTCCTTTTGTATCCAATTCAAACTTTCTACACGTACGAGGGTGATAAATCTAGCCATTCCTACAACATATCACATTATTAATGACTCACATTCTGAATAAGATTATTATTTATTTATTTATATCAAATGGCAGGCGTTTTGATAGTTATCATTAGCCATTTAGCTGACTTAGGGCTTCACAGAGAGGAGGAGGAACATTAAAGCAACAAAAAGTCGAGAGGGGGGACAGGAGAGTGATTCACAGGTGTAAAGAGACAGATGAACACAAATACAGAGAAAAGGTAAGATGAATATTGTGAAAGTCGTCGAATATGACACAGTGGGGTGATTGTAGTTTGAAGTCAGAAGTTAACTGCCAGTTAATAAACTCTTTCGCCATATTATTATACGTTTCCCAGGGTTCACCACGTGGAGGTAAGTCTACCGCGCACCCCGCATTTAAATATAGTCTTTTTAATATTATGCTTGTTTCCCGTATGACTATGACGTATATTGCTTGGATTAATTTGCAACAAAGTGGAATTCGGGTGTTGGAATTATCATGGTAGTACACGAGTACATGGAACATGGATGTGCGGCATTGAGGAGCCTGGACCATTGTATTGTCCTGATAACACAATGGGCTTGTTACAAGTCGTCAATGAATTAGACCCTATAACAAGGAACAAAAAATGTGATCAGTTAACAGAATGGAATCGGTTAGTGAGCTTTCTACTCAAGTCCATGTTGACATCTTATTTTCAAATCGTGCTCGTTGTGTCCTAAGCCTACACTTTATTCCCCTATTTATTTTCCACCCAATGGTTCTCCTCCACATAGACCGATTAAGTTTCTATGATACTTTTGCAAGCTGACCCCCCAAACCAGGAACATCACATCTTCTAACTCTAAGGAAATTGGTGTTAGTAACTTAGAGGCTTTGGAATGACTGGTCATGTCTAGCCCAAAACTGTGAAAAGGTACTTTTTCCACAGCGAAAAAATTTGTCCGACAAACAGTACATGGAGATTATTATGTTCATTAATTCTATCAATCAACTTGAATTATGCATAATTTTTCTTATTTCTGCATTAATACACCTTTTTATTT